CACTGGGATCTCTGTAAATCCCAGCCGGCGGCCGCGTGGCCGCGTGCCTCGACCGTTTCGGCGGCGCTGTCGCGATGTCGCGGCGCTGTGGCCATCCCCGCTGTCGCCGCGCGCCGCGCTAAGCACACTATGAATCTAAGCCATTATGTCTCTTCTTGTGTTGCAGGTGGGTCTCGCTGGCTGCCGAGCGCGGAGCGTGGCGCGGCGGGGCGCGGCGTGGAGGAGCCTCCCCGGAGACCTCGACGCGGGAGGCGCACCACAGCGCCCGTCCTGGGACCTTATCACCGCTTGCATGCGTTTCGTGTTGCTTCGCGTTGCTCCTCGCGTTGTTCTTGTTTCTTTGGCTCGTCGCGGCTTCGCGGCCACCCATTGTCCCATTTTCGCCCGGCGCGCGCGTGTAGCTCTGCGCGCTTTGCGTGTGAGCGAGTGGAGCAGAGCAGGGCCTGCGCCCGCGCGCCGCGCGCTCGATGTACCTGTCGGCGCTCTGTGACAGATTGAGGTTATTCTCGTTGCCCGGCCGGGCAGGGCGGGCAGGGCTCCAGCCTACGCGTGGGGTGGCTGGCCGCTGGCCGTCGGTAGAAGGGCACGGCCCGGACGTGCTTCGCCGGCCTCGCCGGGCGAAGGTGGCCGTCGAAGGTCCCCGCCGATACGCTTTCGGGCGCGGGCCGCCGCGGGCGCGGTCGGGTCGTCGGGCTGCCCCACACGGAAATAATTACACGCCTGTTTTCTGCCTTATCGGCTCGGCGACGCGGTCGACGCGGTCCAGCTACAACCAGAGCGATGCGGCGACCTCCAGCCTCGGCAGCGCGGAGGGGAGGGGGCCGCTGGGCCGCGGAGGCTTAGAGTAGAGCCTCGCTGGGGGTCAAAGTCCGGCGCTGAACGAAAACTGTCGACAGACACCGTGCGGACAAGTCCCTGGCCTGCCAAATCATTCGCTGTCAAAAGTATACTATCGTAATCAACAACCATAACTTTATATTTTTGTCAGTTTGACTCGACTGTTTTGATAGTGTTCATTCGAAATGAAGTTTCAAGTGGTCCATTTTAACTGTGTTGGAATAATTGTGGCGTTTAGGCGGCTGCGGATCGTCGTCGCCATGTACGTCGTGCTCGGGGCCTTGGCGTTCCCCGGGGGGGTCTTGTGGGGGAAGGGCGGCAGGGACACCTGCTCGGCGCGCGGCGGGTCGGCGGCGGCGGCACGGGGTCAGCCCGCCGGGTCGACGAGCGCGGCAAGGGCCTGCACTACACTGTGAGCCCCACCAAGGGCACGGCGACAATGCGAACACGTGTACGACGTGCCCTGGCGGGGCTGGCGGGCTGGCGGGGCCTTCCGCGCGACCGCCGCCAACCTGCCGCACCGTGCTGCCAAGGGCTGCCAATAGATGGACGACGCAGATAGGTCGAGGCATACATTAATCGCGCACATTGTGCAGCCGGCTGGCTGCCGACTCCGAAGAGTCCTTTCCGTCGCTCTGTCTCTGTCGCACTCATGGGGTGTTCCGTAGCGGTGCGAGAGAGACAGAGCGACGAAAGCACCGTCGTCGGATCCAGCCCTCTGGCGCAGCCCGACCTTGTGCCTCCATTCCGTTTTCCCCGAGTCTCCCCATTCATTTGTCGCGTTGTCACTTACGCCCCTGGCCTGCCTGGCCTGCCCGGCCTGCGCGCGCGCCGTCGGGCCGTACGGCACCTGTTATTGTATTCAGGCAGAGCAACGTGAGCAGCCGAGTGATTCCGAAGGACCGTTTCGTCGCTCCGTCTCTGTCGCACGCATGGGGCGTCCCGTAGCGCGTGCGAGAGAGACAGAGCGACGAAACGAACACCCGGCAGGTCGCCGGCGTGGTTGGAAATTACCTCGACGGGCGCGTCGACTGGCGTCTTTTTTCGAGGGGAGGGGGGGGGCGTCGCCGTGGCCGGCCGGAGTATCAATAGCAATCACAACAATAACACGGGACGGGACGGGCTTTCTATCGGCGGGGTGGCGGGCGACCGGGGACCGGGGGCGAGGAGGAGGTCACACCGCGGCGCGGCCGACGCGATGGCTATGATGCAGCAGCTTCCCTTCCACGCCTGGCTTGCCTGGCTCGCCTGGCCGCCGCTTCGCCTCGTGTTTGATTAAGAGGGTATTGTGTGTCGGACGGCCGGCCCGGCCCGACCACTATGGATGGAAAATCAAGTCGAGCACGTTCGCGGCGCAGCGCGCAGCGCGGCACAGTCAGCACGACCACAACAACGGCGCGGCGGTGCACGCGCGTGACGTGGACGCGAAAGGCAGAGGGACCGAAAGGCGCCCGCCGGGAGTCGAACCACGAGCCACCAGCGGAGTCCCGAGCCTCGGACTCCAGCGGCCGGGCGGGGACGGCGCGGCGAGCGCCTTGAGGCAGGCAGACCCGCCGCGCGCGCGCGTCCGGCGGGATGGCCCACCTCCCCGGCGCTCCGCCCGGCCGAAGCTGCTGCACCGGCTGGGAATACTCCGTCTTGACTGCGGCGACGGTGCCGGTTCAGATGAAGTGGTCGCGGTGCCGGGCGGCCGGCTGGCCAGGTCGGCGACAGTAAAACGGTTTTACGGCCGCCGCGTCAAAGTTAGCTGGGTTGCCTACACTGGTGGACGCGAGGCCGCGATAAGCCCGGTCGCTACGACTTGATCCAAGCAGCTTCGAGGTTGCAAGGCGCAGCCCGTCAGACTCTTTTCATTTTTGTTTCGTCCTTTTTCTCCTTCTCGTTCTCCTCTTCTCCCGCTTCCTGGCGGTGGCGATTCGCGGTGAACGCGTCGCGTCACGCCGCGCTCCTCGTCCGGGGCGGGGCGGGGCGGGGCGGGGCGGGGCTGGCTGCACTCGTTCCGATAAGGCGAGAGCACTGCCGACCGGACCGGGGAGTCCCTTCACCTTCGAACTTTGAGTGTATCGCGATCCTGCCGGCGCGCAATGAGAATAAAGACTTCCCCGACGGCCGCCCCGCGCGCTGCGCGCCGCGCGTTAAAGCCGAGCAGCAGCCGCGTCGTCGCTCTGTCTCTGTCGCACTCGAGGGGCGTCCCACCGGCGTGCGACAGAGACGGCGCGACCAAATGACTCCTCGGAATCGCTCGGCAGAAGCTCCCGCTCCCCGGGTCGTGTTATGAAGAGGCCGGGCGATGGGATGGGCATTCCGATGTTGACGCTCCGATAGGCGGGCAGGGCCGGGCCGGGCCGGGCAGGGCAGTCCTCGCGGCCGCGGCTCGCACCGTCGGGGCTCCCAATTCATTTGCCTCTGGAGGCGATCAAACTCACGCACACACGCACGGGGGTTTCGTCAAGCGCCCTAGTCGTGGTAGCCCATTCCCATTATCGTGGTGCAGTCCGGCGGGGGCCTGCACTGCCTTGCACTGCCTGCACTGCACTCGCTGATGGCGCGGCGATACGCCACCGGCCGCACTGGGAATATGATACGTTCTATATATTATTGTTGCGATGCGTGGCCGTGCGTGCATCGCGCAGGGGCGTCTGTATGTGTGCGTGTAGGTGTGTGTGTGTGTGTGTGTGTGTGTGTGTGTGTGTGTGTGACGCGCTCACAAATCGCGCCGCCGCCGCGCCGCGGCAGACTCGAAATAAAGAAGCGACGCGGCAATGATGTCGCAATGATGTCGCGCGCCTGACCCCCGACCTTCCGCGGGGGCGTTAAGGATCTCCGTGTGGACACGTCGAGTACACGGCGCGGACAGTGTGTACACGCGGTGCTTACACTCGCTCGCACACACACACGCCCCCGCCGCCACGCGACTACGCGACGCCACCGCGCGGCCCGCCGGACGGACGCAGCGCCGCAGCGGGGCTACCGGTCGGGGCGGGGAGCCTCGCCTTGCTGCCACGCCGTGCCACGCCACGCCACGCCTGCCGTGCCCGGGTTAGAGGCGACTACTGCTTGCCTCCCGGTTTCTATCACATTAATTAACAACTGGCTTCCACGGCCACGGCCGGCCCGCCGCCCTTTGCTGCTGCTTCTGCTGCTTCTGCTGCTTCTGCTTCCCAGGCCCGCCGCCCCGGCCGTGCCCCGGCGTGCCCCGCCTTCGAATGGGATCGCGGGTCGGCCGCCTGCCCTCGGCCTGCCCGCCGCGCCGTGATTCTTATTACACAGAAACGATAGATTATGAGAGAATAACGAATAACGCAACGAGCAGGCCGGCTCATTAGGAGCCACCAGAAGGGGCCGGAGGGGGGGGGGGATAAAAAGTTGAGTTTGCACCTTTGCTGCACGACCTGGCGTAGTCGTGCTTGGCGGCGTGCTTGACGGCGTGCTTGACGGCGTGCTTGACGGCGTGCTTGGCGGCGTGCTTGGCGGCGTGCTTGGCGGCGTGCTTGGCGGCGTGCTTGGCGGCGTGCTTGGCGGCGTGCTTGGCGGCGTGCTTGGCGGCGTGCTTGGCGGCGTGCTTGGCGGCGTGCTTGGCGGCGTGCTTGGCGGCGTGCTTGGCGGCGTGCTTGAAGGCGCGCGACGCCCCGCGGTCGGCCTGTCACGCTAACTGCACCCATTGCCGGCATTGCGGGCAGTGCGGCGGGGGAACAGTAGCAGCTCATGTTGGCCCTGGGCGCCCTGGGGGTGGCAGCACTGGCGGCGCGTCCTCTTCGCCTGCCCCCTCCCCCTCCCCTCCCCCTCCGCGGTCGTGTCGTGCACGCTCCCTGCGCACGCCGAGCGTTAATTACTGTATGCTTAGCCAATTATTTATCTCGCATGACGGCGCCCCCCGCCCCGCCCCGCCGCCAGCCCGATGCACTCGGTGGCCGGCGTGGCGTACCGGGCGTGGCGCACCACGCCGTCATGCAGTGACACCGCGATGAGTCTCGGTACAGCAGGTTCCTGGGACTTCCCCGGCCGCCGTTTTTTCTTTTCCTCGCTCTTTTCGTTCCGCTGCAAGAGCGTAGTGCTAGAGCCGGGTGGCTGGGCGTCGCGTCGCGTCTCCAAGTTCTCCGAGTGACTGTCCTGTCCTGTCCTGTCCTGTCCGCTAATGTAACTGTGTCCTTGTGTGTCTGCAGGCGTTTCGCGACCAGCGGATAGACGGGTCGGCGCTGCCGCTGCTAACCGAGGAGCACCTCCGCACCCAGATGAAGATGCGGCTGGGCCCCGCGCTCAAGCTGCGCGCCGTGCTGGCCAAGCGGCTGGGCCACTGCAGCGTGTGCCTGCACTGTGTGCACTGCCACAACCTGCCGCCCAGCTCCACGGCCTCGTCCGCCACCGGCACCACCACCACCTCCACCACGACGACGGCCACCCCCGGCAGCCCCCAGTCGGCGTCCGGGACGGTGGCCTCCACCAGCACGTCGCCGTCGGCGGCCGGGTCACCGCCGCCAGCGAGGCCGTCGTCCGCGGCGGGTGTCGCCATGTCGCTGACGACCTCGTCGGAGCGGAGCGCCACGGCGTCCCCCAAGCCCACGCCGCTCGTCATGGCGCCGCGCCCCAGCAGCGTCGGCAACTAGCCGACCAGCCTGACTAGCTTCGCTCGTTAGTTTCTATGTTTCAATTTTGTGATATTCGCTCGCCGACGCGGCGCAAGACACTTGACAGCGCGCCCCGCCGCGCGCAGAACAACTCAGTGCTAGAGTAGAGGGCGGCGACGCCCGGTCGGCGTCGGAGTAAGGTCGGCAGGGTGTGAGGACTGCATTTCGAGACTCGGCCAGCAGTCACCTGCACCTTATTCCGTCACCAATTCGTATGAGTGGTCTATTTGTACTGTTTATAGTTAATGTTTAGGCTTCAATGCATGTTGATGTCTGTGATATACTCTTGGATAATTTTGCTGGAAGAAGTGCAATAGCCTGCATTCACACTTAAAGTTATTGTTGCCTAGTCCAGCAGTACAAAATGTCTGTCCAAACTGTTCTCTTTTTTTTTTTGGAGAATATCAAAATAAGTCCAGCTCATCAATTGCATGCTGGAGCTCTGCCACTGTTATCTTTCCTGTTTAGACTGTTAGTGGCAGGGTGTGTGGAGCTGAACAAGTTGCTGATGGTTTGTCATCATACAACGTGCCAAATTAGTGTTTTCATGCCTAATACAAAAAGCGTACCTTGGATATGCCTTGGATATACGTGTTCACAGAGTGTTCGTTCTAGAACTTCTCTAAGATAATTAATTTGGCGAAATAATTTGTAAAAATAATGATAAAAATCTGTGATTGCAGAAGAATTTTGTGCAGTACTTAAGAAATTGACAATAGAGAAAATCTGTATATTTACTGATTGTACATAAATTAACTGTACATTCTAATATTCAATAGTTACTGCAACTCCGTACAGCTTTTCCTTCTTTTGGCTAGTATTGAATCCGCCATCTGCCTATGCCATTTGTTCCCTCTAACAAAAAGAAATTAAAATGGGATGAGCCTAAGCACCAGTCACATTTTGATTGGAAATGATTGAACTGATTTTCAGTTGGATTCACTATCAGTCAGAAGAATTGTATCCATTATTTGTAACATATACATACATATCCTATTTAACTTAATTAAAAGTACCATTGTAGAATGTATAAAGTCAAATATTTATAATATGTGAATCATTCTTGCAAACTATGTGACTAGAACTGTGGCTGTATGTTTGTTAATTAATGAGAAGCTTTTGGAATGTTCCCAAGCATATCTGGATAACAGTCTTTGTCTGAAATTGATGACATGTTGTGATATCTAGTGAGTCTTATAATTCCTACATTGTAGACTTTTTCAAAAATCATTTCCCAATACTGCTATTACATTGTGAAGGTCCAAATCATGTAACTTCCCTTAAAATGTCTGTTATGTTGTAGGGTTTTTTTTTACTCAAGGGAATCAAAAGCACTGAATCATGTGTGATGTATGTTCCTTACAGTATTCACAATTAAATGTTATAAACACTGTTCTCTGTTAAATCCTTGTCTCATTTTATTCCTCTACTGTTCCACACCACACTCCACCCACAGCCGGCTCTTCGGTCAGCTGGTTGCTTATGCTTCATTCTACGGGCATATAGAACAGGGAAGGGAGGTTTTCCTCGTATGGTTAGTCCTGGTCCAGGTATATAAGAGTGGGAAAACTTAAGAGGGCCCAGATCAACATGTCTTTCGGAATCTTTGCAACCACTGCAACACATGGTGCAGACTCGAGTGGAGGGAAGCTCACCGCCAAAGTCCAGCCCGGAGACTGAGTGTGGCGACCAACATGTCCCTTGGACTCCTCTAGCGCCTGCGAGATAGGCCACCGAGCTGTCCCGCAACACAGCGGAGTGGATGGAGGCGGTGGTCTGCCCGTGCCCGACCCCTCCGTCTTAGCAGGGGCAAGATAGGCTACCGTCTCCACAGCCGTGTGTCGTGAGACGGCTCGGTGACATCTCACAGGCGAGACCCAGTCGACTCCCAGGCGTAACGTCTTTGTTACGTGCCAGGGTGGTGTACCGTCCCGATGCAATGTAACAATGGAGACCAAAACAATGACATATCCCACGACGCTGGTTGAGTTCGGGTGCGGTGAAGAGACGAACGATGGGTTGCCTACCTTTCCGGCGCATGCTCGACTCGACGACTACAAGGTGGATGGATGGACTTCCCTGTTGGTGTCTACTCTTGCGGAGCATCACACCATTCACCACACAGGGTGAAGTACTTGTTCATTGACTCCCTCCCTACGCTCCCTAACAACACAGACAAAGTTAGAGACAAATTGTCATTTTTGGGGGTCTTTTCGTCTTTTCTGGCGCCTGCTCCTGCTCCTGGCCCGCCGAGTGTAAACAACAGCCACCACCATCGTCAACGACAAGGCTGTGTGTCCCGTCGGCGCTCGTCCCTCCGTCTCCCTTCCCCTGAAAATCGAAGAAAAATCTTTGATCATAAATAACATGTAAGATGTAGCACCGTTCAATCTTAGATGATACGTTAACTTTCTCATCCTGTCTGACGCACTGTTGGAAACAGCGTCGTTTTAATGAAATTCAACAATAGTATCTTGCATAGGTTATGACGCCCTTTGTTGACATTTGTGTTGTTGAGTGCTCTGGTGTTTGATTTGGTGTGAATCCATGCTGCAGGGAGTTGAACCAGGAGGATGCCCGACGCCTCCTCTTAGAAGGGGGAACCCTGCTAGTCCTTGATGTCCCAGAAGGCACGAATTTTGGGATTGACCTCAAGTCATGGGAAACTGGTGAACGATTCAAAGGTGTTAAAATGATTCCCCCAGGGCTGCACTTTGTGTATCACAGGTAAAAGAACTATCTATAATAATTTTTTTAGTCATTTAACCGATTTGTTTAGTTTGACTTATTTCTATGACTCCAAACTGTTATGTTCCAGTGCTGTCGGACAGTATGGCGACACAGCACCCCGGATCGGCTTTGTGCATAATTTCAAAAAAGGTGAAATTGTTCTCAAGAAGTGGGATGCAGAGGCAGGCGAAATTGACCACAACAGTCAGTTAATCTTTTAATTCATATTTTCTCGTTGTCTTCTTTGATAAATGTAAAATTTTACACAACTTTAAAATCTTATTTTAATTTTATAGAAACAGTCACAGATGAAGAACTTCAACGAATTAGAGCAAATATCTATGATGTTGATCGTTTCTTAGGGCCATATCCATATGAAATTTGGGACAAGTGGAAGATGCTGTCTGATAAAATTACAGGTTTGAATCTTACTTTATATTTATCGCTTGTTAAAATGCCAATTCCAATAATTTTTGCTTTTATTTCATCAGAACCTCTTGCCAAGAGGCTTGTACCTGACTCAGGAGTGATAAGATCAGCTCTGGAATTGGTGTCACAAGGTAATGTCAAAACAGAATCTGACAAAGTCAAAACCACTGACCAAAGTTGTGAGCCCAATGAAAGCACTCCTGAAACAAGTAGCCCTTCAAGTAAACATTCATGTCCAACATCAGGTAACACACCCATTTTTCCTATCTGCCTTTTTTATTTGTATCTCGTCTCTGTGTGAAGATTTAAATCATTTGTTTTCGTTTTGTTTATGTCTTTGCTAGACGATGTTGGCTCCTTCAAAAGAAGACGGCATGGTCGACCATTAACCGTTGAAGAAATTGAAGAAGAGTTGCTCCCTGAACTGAAACCTGCACCAGGAACAGCTCTAAGACTCACACGCTTTCCCGAGCTTTATTATCCTCCTGGTTCAACTCCAGCAGAAATCACCTATCACTCAATGGACTCCAGCTATGCCTTGAAAACTGTTTTAGAGCAGCATGCTGTGTATGTTTTTGAATGATACTGTTGTAAATTCAGTACATACATCTCTCCCATTCTTTCATTCATTTATTTCCTTTTATTTAAAACAGGCCTGGAGATTTGGTTGGAGAGTTGCAGTTTTCATTTCTGTGTTTCCTTGTTGGACAGAGTTTAGAGGCATTTGAACATTGGAAACAACTAGTGAGTTGACACTTATAACTAAAAATGTCTTTTGTTTTGTAGCTGTTCAAATACATGTTGTGAATATTTTTATTCTGAACAGGTACAATTGATATGCAACTGTGAAAAGGCCATTAAGGATTATCACAACCTTTATGAAGATCTGATGTGGGCTTTAGAAGCACAGCTTTGGGAAATACAGGAAGACTTTTTGGCTGACATTGTGACCAACAACAACTCTATCTATGCAGCTCTTCGCAGATTGTTCAGAGCAATTTTGTCACCTGACAATGACATGGAGCCTCGCTTGAAAACTCGAACTGCACGGTTTGCCGAACGACTTACAGAAAAACTAGCTTGGGATTTTTCTGATATAAATGAAGAAGAAGAAGACGAAAAGCCAGTGGTTGTAGATTTGTAAACATACTAGCATCTAATTGAATACATTTATTTTGATCTAAAGAAACTTATCTCATTTTTCAAACAACATTTTAAACCAAACTAGTACCCACTCATTTTCTTCCTTTAGGCTGCTTTGGAGGGCGACGACGTCCTTTGCTCTTTCTCTGCTTCTCCAGACTGGGAACTTGAAGATGGCCCAGCCTGTGCTTTATGTCTTGAACAATTCCAACGACTTGGTCCGAGGTGTACTGTGGAGTAAAACAAGACGGTGATGGTAAGAACCGATTCTCCCCTCCCGATGCTCCAATGTGCGAACAAGAAAGAGCCTACCTGGTGCTTCAACTCTGGTGGCAGCTCTTCTCGGGGGGCACAGCGCACTCGCCTGCTCCTCTGGCCTTCTGCTCCTGTGGGCGCGTTGCTCCGCCTCTGCCCGCAAATTACGGTAATCTCTCAATTACGCCAAAGAGCAGGAAAATAACGGGCATTTTTGGGGGAAACCTTAAATTGGTGGCTTACCTTTTTAATGTTTTGTTGGTAGGGAAGCGGTTTGTGGTGACGATGAGAATCAGAGCCATCAAAGCAACACTTCCAAAGGGTCCCCGTCCCAACTAAAGGGAGAGGGCTCGCCCGGGCCCCCGGTATGGGACGGTATGAAATGGCCAGTACATGGTAGGGCAGTTCCCCTCTCACACGGGCCCCGACATGCCTTCGAAGTGGGCTCCGCGGGAGTTCCAGGCAAAGGCTTTCCCCGGCAATGGGGACAACATAAGAAACGCTTTGTTGAAGGACTTTCGACCCGCAAAGAGCGTCCCACACTACCCTTCTTTTGAAATTGGCCCAAAAATTTATAGTCTGGCTGCACCCCACGTGCTCACCTAAGTGCGTCGCCCTTCGATGGCGAGCGCAAGGACTTTGGGATTGGTGTTTTTCCAAATCCCATCCAACCCGTTGACCGTATTACCGATTTAGGCCTTCGGTAAATTACGGTTATTTACCGTAATTTACCGTAAGTTTACCGGGTAATTTACCGCCTTCGCATCCCTACTCTGCCCGCACATTGAGGGAAGGGTCTCTCCTGTGCAGCCAAAGAGCAGAAAATAACGCCATGTGCGGGGACCTTAAATTCAGGCGGCGTTACCTGGAGGTTGGTGGTTGGTGGTGGCGGTGTCCGCGGTGGTGACGATGAGGGACTGCAGCGCCATCAGTAGCAGCAGCAGCAGCAGGGTCCGTTTCATGAGGAGAGAGGGCTCGCCTGCCCCGCCTGCTGGCGCCAGGGTAGGCAACACTGCGACACTGGTACACTGGTGAGTGGCGAGTCTGCCTGCCTCTCGACACGCAGGCGCTGGCCTGCCTTGCGCCAACGCTGCGCGCTCCGCTGGGAGTCCGGCAGGGCTCTCGGCACTGGGGCACCACACATGAGCTACCCTGTCAAGGCCAGTCGACTGGAAGAGCGCTTCCCACCCCACCCCTTCTTTTGAACTTGGCCGAGAATTTCCGTCTGGCTGCACCGCCACCGTGCTGCACGTGGGGGCGTGGGGGCGCCCGTCGAGGGGCGAGCCGAGGGACTGGGATTGTGTCCAACTCGGTCCAACCCGCTGACCCAGCGACCGAGTAAGGCCAAGCCTACACGTACGAGGTACAGTAGACAGCTTCACAGGTGTAAATGGGATCAGGATTTTCTGATCATTTACCCATTTTTCTGATAAAATTTGGGATTTTCTGCATCGCGTACTTCAGAAATTGGCATCAGTTGCAAGATTCTGATCCTGGAAATGATGGAAAGGTCTCTCCTGTGCAGCCAAAGAGCAGGAAAAACGCCATGTGCAAGGACCTTAAATTCAGACGGGTTACCTAGGAAAATGATTGGTGGTGGCGGTGTCACGGTGGTGAACGTGGGTGCAGCAAGTGCAGCAGCAGCGCATGGTCCTTTTGTGAGGAGATGGGGCGGTGCCCGCGCTGGCGCCAGGGTTGCAAGCTGCGACATTGGTACCATGGTGAGTGGCAGTCTGCCTGCCTCTCGACACGCAGGCGCTGGCCTGCCTTGCGCCAACGCTGCGCGCTCCGCTGGGAGTCCAGGCCGGCCTCGCACTGGGGCACTTTCAACCGAGACCCTGTCAAGGCCAGTCGACTGGAATCGCTTCCCACAATCCCTTTTTCAATTGGCCGAATTCCGTGTGGCTGCACCGCCACCGTGCTGACGTGGGGCGGGGCGGAAAAACCCTCGAAGGGTCCGAGGGACTGGGATTGTGTCCATCGGTCCAACCCGTGACCCAGGACCGAGTAGGCCAGCCTACCGTACAGTACGTATTACACCTGCTTGAGCATCCAGGCAGGTCATCATGGTAAAATAGCTGGCACTGATTTGAAACACTTTCTGTTTATTTCACTTCATAGAAACATTTATTACCCAAAATGTAACAGTATCACAGCACGAGTTGTCACAGGCACCCGCCTCAAATGACCACAGATGTCACAAATCAATACACCACACATTACTCAAATGACACAGTCGGTCCAAAAAGTAGAAAAATAATACAAATGCTCGAAAAAGTCAAGAAACTTTCCTTACCTTAAAAAAAATATTGAACCATCATATACTTCATTGACTAGAAACTAACTAATTTGTTTCAAGAGATGCTTGCATAAGGTCTTCCCCCTCCAGAACTAATTCCATGTCTGAGACTGACACTACTTGAGGGAAGGTGATTGCCATGTTTGGATGGAAACGAAACTCGTATTTACTTGGATCCTCTCCATGGATAACACGCACATGTTTCACACAGTCTGGTCTCTGGCGGAATGGACGGTCACATATAGGACATGGATATGGTTTTTCACCAGTATGAGTTCTTAAATGTACATCTAGATGGGCCTTCCGTTTAAAGCCAATGTTACAGACTGGGCAGGGCAGAAGCTGGTGAGGTAAAGAGTGCACCTAAAATAAGAATGCATCTTTATTACATTGAAGGAGCAAGAATTGTTAGAGAGAATATACGTAGTTCACTATTTCCAACATACCGTACTGTGTTGAGCTAGAGCACCATTAGTTGGAAAACGTTTTGAGCACTGTTGGCACTCAAATGGTTTTTCACCAGTGTGCTTGCGCCTGATATGGTCCTGCAGGACACTATTAGCTGTATATCCATTATTGCACATTGGGCAGTTGTATGGATACATGCCTTCATGTTTCATGAGATGATACTTCATCTGAGTTGAACTGTCAATTGTTTTCTCACAAAATGGACAATCTTTGACACCAGTTTTATGAACCTCCCGCTGATGTTGAAAAAGTTCTGCATAAGATGTGTTTTCTTCTTTGCAAATTTCACAAGTATAATTTAGAAGTTGAATGTGAGGGTGTGATGATTTGTAGTGAGAGAGTAACTCCTTTTGCTCAAAAACATTTTTGCATTCCCTGCAGCGGTTGAGGCCATCTCTATGTGGTTGAGGTCCAGCTCGGCTGGCCCTGAAATGTGAAAAAGTAATACTTAATTTGTGACTTGAATTAATATTATTATTAATAATTTGAAAAAGACTTTCTACCTAGAATTATCAGGATTGTGTACATTCATATGCTTCAATAGGTGGCTTTTCCGATAAAATGTACGGGAACAGAGAGAACATAGATATTGTGGGTCACCGTGTGTAAACTCATGTTGCCGAAGAATCTGCTTGGTGCTGAAAAGCTTGCCACAAACTTTACACATGTATTTTTTCTCTTCATGTTTTTGCATGTGCTCCTTCAGCCTTGAACTAAAGAAAAAATGGGTATTAAATTTTAATTTGCTCAGTATTTTTCCAATGGACACGTAATGGAGCGTGTGAATGCAGTACTAACGAATTGATATATTGCTTTGGGCAGTGCGGACATTGATGGATGTACTTCAAATCTGGGAGAAAGTGTGACCTTTTCAGTTGTTGAGGTCTTGCTTTCTGAGAAAAAATTTTAGCACCATCATCACAAATTTCAGCATGATCGCTAAGGACTTGATGCTTCTGTTGTGAAGGATAAATAAATAATAATATCATGAGCATATATGAAACCACAAAAAAAGGCAAACTGAGAACACTATTAATCATTTTTGTTTCACGAACCCTTAATTCTTCTTCTGTTGAGAATATTTCCAAACACTTGTGGCATTCCCACTCTCTCAACTTTCTAATTTTAGCACATGTTTGTCGATGAAAAATGGCTGCACACACATCGGAGGCATCATGTCCACAACTTTCACATTTAGTATTTGCAGCATGGTAAGATTCTAAGTGCTGCATTAAAATCTGTTTGGACTGCAGGTGTTCACTACAAAATGAACACTGAAACCATGGGCGGAATTGCCTCTTGGGCCATGATCTTGATGTGTCTGTGTCATGTTCAAGCTTCCCTTCCTTTTCACTGGTGCTTTGATCACCTTTGTCTATTTCATGTTCAGAATGAACTGATGGACCCAAGTGCTCTTTAATATGATTTTGTATGAGACCGGTCCCTTCAAAAACATGTTCACACATTCTACATGTGAGCTTCACTTCACTTTCTTCCAACTTCCAGTAAACAAAATTTTGCAAAGTTGTGAAAGCATCTCCACACTCCTTCCAAGCTCTTTGAAACTTTGGATTCCTTATTCCAGTTGAAAAATAGTCACTAGGACTGACATCATCTGTGACGGGCATAACCTGGTCCTCTCCTGGTTCAGCCTCAAAACCATCAGGTGGCTCTGTCAATGACAAGGATTCGATTACTTTTAGGCCATTTAATGATGCATTAGCTGATGTTTCATTTGAATCCTTCTCAAAAGGGACATCATCAAGGTTGAGAAATACGTTTTCGGTCTCCTCCTGGATCAATCTGGATGGACTTTGTTCTCTTCTTTCATTTTGTATCACATCCATGGAGACAAGTGCTTCAGCTGCTGTTTTTGCTTGTTCTAGTTCTGATACCATGGAGTTATTTGATATGGAGGCTAGCACCAAACTACACTTAAGTTCTCCACTGTTCTGTGACTAGGAATAAAAAAGGACTGTAATTTCAAGCAATACTAAGGATAAAATGAAGATAAAAAGAAACAGATATAAATATTTTGCTCTCGACAATACCTTGGGGTGCAGTCGCAACTGTAAATCCTCTAATGCAATAGAAAGATATTCTTCTACAGGTTTGCCTTCCTTGCTGTATATTTCCATGAGTAGAAGATGGCGTTTGTGGTCCTGTGAAAGCTTATTTTTTTACCATTGAGCCAAAACAATTAAGTTCAAAGGAACAAAGTAACAAATCTCTTACTGGACTGGTAATTGAGTTCTTCTTTCTTTCATGAAAGAATATGGTCAACTGTGATGCTTGGTCCAAATCCTGATCAAAACCAATTGTTGAAAAATGTTGTCATACAGAACCTTGGATAGGAGACATTTGTTGTCCTTACCTGTCCCATAACAGATGCAAGTTGTCTGTGAGTGTTAAAAGATGTTACCATAAGCTCTGAACACATATCCAAGCGACTCAGACACTTTGAACAAACATTTTGTGGAAGATCATCACTTTGAACAATCTAGAATAAAAGAAAATTAAGTAAGAAGGGTAGACGAAAATTCAATAATTACCCATAGGGGAAATGACATACCATTATGGGAAGAATTGAAGTGATTCGCTCCAGCAGCTTTATGTCCTTGGCCTCAGAGCTAAACATGTTAACTGTTTTGTTGCTAGCTACCCCACACAGACGGCACATAAATGTACCATTTTGCCACATGGAAACAACATGACCATTTTTCCTTGCATGCTTCCCCCATTCATGGTATGATAATGATACTGGGAGGTCTATTACACCTTTTTGAAGAGAAGTATCTGACATCTCCAAATCTAGTTCTGTACTTTTTTCCACAGTATTAGAGGCTATTTGATGTCTATCAAACATCGGAAACCCAGTATCTTCCTCATGAAATTTATGTCTTTTCACAGGCGGCCCACAATGTGCCTGTATTGCTGTTTTTAGGTCCACAAATGCATCAGAATCACAAGAGGGTGAGAAAGCTGTTGAAAATGGAGTTGCTATTTCTGACAAATTCAGGGGTGGCTTTTTAATTTCAATGGGGTCTTTAGGGAGTTGCTGAGGGATAATCTCACTATCAGGCTGGGATTGATAAGATTCGTTCACTAAAACTAATTCGGGATTAGTCTCAACAATTATTACATTTCCTTCAGCCTCAGAATTTCCCTCTCCTAAGACAAGGGGATTTTCTGTCTGTAGAAAACAGTTGCTTAGAGAATTTCTGATGATGCTGCTTGAAGATGATATTTCATCTTCCATTCTGGGAGAAATGCAACTCATTAAATTTGAACTTGGTTTGTCACGGACAATCTCACAGTTTTCCAACATGTAAGTTCCATCGATAAGAACCATCTCATTGACAACTTTTCCAGTTTCAAGTACATAACTGCTTGGCTTGTTCTTTATGCTACTTTCCACATCCTTATTCTTTTCTGACCCAGTGTGGGGTCGTAGTCCCTTATTCCTATCCTCTTTACCAATGTCATCTGAACCTGCAAGGTAAAAATTACAGAATGTAAAAGAAAAAGGTAAACGAGGTAAGAACTTGAATTTTGAACTGAATAAACCTTACCTAATTCAGAATTTCTCTTGGAGCCAAAGCTGTTGTGCTTCAGAATTTGAGCACCCTGTATGCAATAGATAATTTAAATACATGATAAATTATTTAAAAATTATCAGAAAATACTAAGGTTGTACACAATTGATTGTTTACACACCCTTTTCTTTCTAGAAGTCTGAAATATTGTGGGAACTGCTCCCTCTATTAGTTGTGAATGCACTTTAGTGCTAAATTGAGTCTTTTCGAAATGGGCAGAACATATCATACTTCTTCTTCCAGGGGTCCAGTTCGCTCTTCCAATATTGGCAATCCATTGACTTCGAAGGTGAGAGTCTCCAGGAAATCTGCAAAGATCCCAAACAAAAAGATATGTGATTCATATGAAGCTCAAATGTTATTTCATGTTAATAGATTTATAACCTATGTACTATACTAACTCGTAGAAGTAGAATTCTGCAGTCTTCTGACTATTGATGCAGTTTGGAGCTGAACATTTCGTCATTTTTTTTACATGTGGAAAATCTGCGAAATTCGAAATTAGCAACAACCAGCCAGAACTTTTGTGTTTGCAAGGACAAAATTCTTCTAGGGGAGAAATATTAATTATCAGAACATCTGGCTCAATAGGAGTAATGGAAAAGACTTGGGGTTAAGGCAAGAAAAGTTACTAACAGCTGTCACTTGATAGTGAGTCTTGTAATAACAAAATAATTTCGTATCCTTCACCACAAACGCAAATCACAGATGAAATATTTTGGTTTGTTTTGTTTGGGGTTCGAATGTCGTCTGCCAATAATGCCAGCTGAGTGCCTGCTGGCATTTGTCTCACTATACACAGTCCGAGCCCAGCAATGCATTTGCGTGGGTGAATAAGACGAATAAATGGGGAAGATTGAACGGATTGTTCATTCGTTGGCTAATTATGACGAGTGCTTGTGATTGAAACCGTCTGGTTTATTAAGTCTTTGTTTGCCCACGGAACTGCAGCCCTAGAGATGGCGACTCGAAGATCTGCGGGTGTGGAGAGGGTGCTGAACAAGCTTGGAGCCGCTGTATCTGCTGGCAATTTCTATGAGGCTCATCAGCTGTACAGAACTCTCTACTTTAGGTGAGATTGCTTCTGTCTGTCCCGTGGATCTTAAAGTTAGCTTCAGACCCTAATGTGGATTTTTGAAATTATGTCGGCCTTTTCTTGAAGTATTTATTAAGAATGTACCATGTCACCCGTCGAGGTTATGGTTGTATTTATGTTTTGTTAAATTGATTTTGTTATTCAATTATTCTAAATCACTTAGATTGTCAGTTAATGCTAGTTATTTTAAATGTTCAAATGTGTGAATGTTCAGCAATTTTTTTGTGGCTGAATCAAAATGGTCCCGATTTCTGCTTAGCAATTGAATAATTTTATGTCCCATTTTCTTTGTAGGTATTTAATGCAAGAAAAATACAAAGAGTTATTGGATCTTCTTTATAGTGGATCAAAACTCTTACTTCAAAATGAGCAGGTTTGTTTTATCAACCATTTGTGTTGGTTCAGAGCTTTACTCTCTCTGATCTCAATCACGTGTTTTCATCATGATGAATGTCTTTTCAGCTGACAAGTGGTGCAGATCTCTGCAATCTTTATGTAGATGTCCTGGGAAAGTCATCTGAACCGGTTTCAGATGATGTTATGAAGAAACTGTCCGAGTAAGTTATGTCTCATATTACCATTACCAAGGCTTATGTGGGTCACGAATTATTATTCTGACAAGTTTTAACAGCGTGTCCCAAAATTGTTTTCTTCATGTGTTTTTTTTTTCTGCAAATTTCAGACTCATTGGATTAATAGGACCAGGAGTGCCTGAAAGAGAGAACTTCCTTAGTAATGCTTTACGATGGTCTGTAAAAGGTTCTCCAGATTTTAAAACTGGTCACCCTCAACTTCACAGATTCATAGCTCAAATATTTTGGAGAGGTAGCGTCTAATATGTTGATTACTAGCAAGTACATGTCTGACAATCGGTTATGCAAACTTAATTTATTTGTAATGTTTTGATTTCAGAAAAAAATTATGTCCTTGCTAGGTACCATTTTCTACATTCAACTGATGGTTCTAGTTTTGCCATGATGTTGGTAGAGATACATACAAGGCAAGGATATCCAAGTGAAGTTGATCTTTTCATCACCCAAGTGGTTCTCCAGTAAGTATCTGCAGCTTTTTTTTTTTCTACGTAACCATAAAGCTGTCGGTTTTTCTTTGGATTTTTTTCTTTTTCTCATTATTTTAAAATTATTTTTATGAACAATTTTTGGTCTTTGTCTATTTAAATTAGGTACTTATGCCTGCACAATAAAACAACTGCAGCAGATGCTTTTCGGTGTTATACTCTCAAACATCCAGACATCAAGCCTGGACCACCCTTCCTTGAACCCCTTCTGAATTTTATTTGGTTCCTTCTAAAAGCTATTGAGAGGTAGGTTTAAGGGTTTTATTTTAGTCGCCTAATTTATGGTCAGGACTTAAAGTGCTTATTTTTCAAACTTTGAACTTTTACTTGCAGTGGAAAGTTACCTGTCTTCACATTATTGTGTAAAAAGTACAAACCAAGCCTTGACAGAGACCCAACATATACAAGTTATCTAAATAAAATTGCTCAGATCTTCTTTGGACTAGCTCCTCAGCGTCCCAGAAACCAAGGATTCTTAGGTATGTTTTATATCTTGCTTTAAATGTGTGTTTGATACTGCACTTAATGCAAAATTGTCACTTATGTAATTTTTCTCATGTAGGTAACCTTATGCAGTTACTCAATGATCCACATAGTTCTGATTCGGACGAAGATGAACATCCTCCGAAGACAAGCTCAGGGCAAAATAGAAGCAATCAAAAAATGGAAGCTGAAGAATTAGATTAGGAGTGTTATTTTAGGTTTTTTTTTTGTGTTTGTGTTTCTTACAAGTCAAACACAAAGCAAGCATATTTAATCTTCTCACCTAACTGTTTCAAACAACTGTTAACTATTGGAGCAGTTACCATCTATCTGGGATAACCATGTAGAAGAAGAGGAAGAAATTTACCTTCTGACGCTGTTCAGTAACCCAGAGAGAAGCAGCTAGCCCAAAGATGTCCAAAGGTATCAGTTTCTTCATGAGGTTATACTATTAATTGGAAAAAGGGGGAGGTGAAAAAAGGACCTTCATTAAATGAATTTATTGGGTTCTCTTTGATCAGAGTTAACAATATTGAAGTTTTTACAAAGGTGACATTGTGTAGAATTTAACCTTATGATGTGCAATTCAGGCATTCAGGATAGTTCACCCTCATTGTATTAAGGTCTCTCTGCTGTTTTTTCTGTTGTTGTTTTTAAAAATTTTGTGTTACAGAAACTTATGTTTATTTATTGTTCAGACTTTTCTCCTCACTTTTGTCTTTTTTTCCTTATCTTTGTTTGGGTGCAAGGTGATATTGGGAGGGGTGGAAGACATGATAATGTATCTAAAATTAAGAAGGTTTTTGTTGCTTCTATCATACATAACACCTATGTAAAATGGAAGCATTCATGAAAATGTCGGAGTTTCATCTGGCGTCAGTGTGATGAACATCACCATAACCATTAAAATGTTTTCAGGTCGAGTACACATTCCATCATATCATCACTATGAAAAGTCAAGTCTGTTTGTTGTGTACTTAGACCTAGAAGTACTGTAAATTTGCACTTTCTAAGAGTGTCTCCTGTAAAGAGGCATTAGATCTTGTTTTTCCTCTTGATTACAAATCGCAACTTACACATTTTTATTTATTTTTCCCTCAACCCTGAACCAACGTTGAAAACGTTCTCATAGCACTGATGGGTTTCAGCGAATTTGTTTTATCGTTCTTGTAAAAATGTATAGTTGTTCAACCTTTTGATTTTTTAAATGCATGTTGTATAATGTTATTTATTTTTTAATACATTGTTTTTGAGGTTAATGGTTCAGTTTCCACAAATTTTGACCCCTCCATTATTTTTTTACAAATTTGTTTCGGAGCTGCTTATGTACCACTAATTGAATTTACAGTTTATAAATGGAACCAGGCCGTGTGGGTCATTCAGATGGTCAATTAAATTAGTTTTTAATTGTTAACCCTGCTTCCCTTAATTCCACTACCATTTAAGGCATAATGATCGAGTGTTGGGTGGCATAAAGTGTTGAACGCAATTCATTGGGGGGGGGGGGGGGGTCATCTACATATTAAATCACAACCATAAAATGATGACATAAATTTACCTTTAATCCTATCTGAAACTTCAGACAAACTTAAATTATGACTTCATTGGATTCATATCACAGAAATTGGCATGTGAAATAAATATTTCTAACCAGTATACACAGAGTATACAACATATAGCAAAAATTGAAAATTGAATCTTCACAGTACAACCACAGATAATAATTTTTCTGACCACATTTTATGACTGAAAGCTCCCAGTAACTGCCAAGGCACATAGAAATATGAAACAAGCCACAATTTCAACAACAAATTTCAATATCTTTAAAACAGGCCTCAGAAAGCAATTATAAAAAAAAAGAAAAGAAAAAAAAGAAAAGGCTTGAAAACATAACAAAAGTAAAAGCGGGATACAAATAAACAAGAAATTTCAATGAACTCTCTCTATATGAGTTTACACTTACATAAGTCCTATTACTAAAAGTCAACACTGCTCTGTTTTTTATGTCACAAATTGTTCAGTCCCTTGGTAGAAATAAGGTTCCAATGGCATACTTGCTCATTTTCTCTCATATGTTTTGTAACAACATTGAGAAATGGAAAAATCCATATTTGCTTAAAGAATGGTGTCAGAAAATCTACAGAAAGAACAAGTAGGCGGTAAGGTTGTCTATGGACGTCGAGAAAGACTGTAGAGGTAATTATACGAGTGAATGCTTACCCTTCAATAATAAAATTAGAAGTCTACAGTTTCAACACAGCAACGATACCTGAGTAAAGAGCTTCCTAAGTAATACTAATAAGAACTCCATAATTGGTAATGCTATTAAAGTATTTGACAGGATCCCAGAGCAAATAAGGAACAAGGAAAGGGACTCAAAATTCAAGAAAGAATTTAGAGCCTGGTTGATAGAGGAGGAGTTCTACAAGATTGAGGAATTTATGTAATAGCATCTAACTTGTTTCTTGTAAGCACTTTTATGTTGAACTTTAAGAATAAGTGATCTGTTGTCCAAAAAAAAAGCAGGATGCTTAGTTGTAATTTTGTAAAACAGAAGAACTAATAAATAATACAATAATACAATCACATTTTGCCCAACCTCTTCTCCTTGACTACATGATTACAACAAAATTAAACCCTGTTGAGTGTTAAAACCTTTCTTTTCAAAGTGCATCATAAATTAAGAACAGGTACTAGACAAGATTAACAAACAAAAAGAACTACTACCAATATACTATGTCCTATACTTGCCAGGAAAATTATTTGACACAAATAAAGAAGACACTGTTTAACCCACCACAACAACAAAACAGTTGAAGGTGTGAAAGTTAATGAGTATATCTCACAAAGTCTTATCTCAAAATCAAAACACAACAATAGAATGTTCGTGGATATGTACACGGTACAAAAAGCATTAGTCATGAAACTGAATTAGGTTAAGTGACATGACTGATGCTAAAACAATTCAAAACCATGATTTCTAATAAATTACATATTTACAATCACAACTCGGTCGTATTTTGAATTTAGCAAAATATCTTGATCAAATAATACAAAACAAAAAATTTCTGAGTTGTTGGAAACCCTGAGAGGATCAGGTACTCACGGTTTATAAAACATGGTATCACACATAAAGTAACTAATACATGAAATGAACAGAAGATAAGAGGTGGCTAGTCAGTGACGCCAAATATAGCATTTAGCTGAAATACCAGTACACAGGCACCTCATACCATGAAAGAAAAACAACCACTTATCAGCTAACTTGGTCTAATAAGTATTTAAGTAAACTATTATATAAATGGTATATCACAATCACATTGACAGCAACCTATAGTTCATCTTTTGCTTGGGAATGTTTAACATGACCTTCTGTTCTATTATGTTTCTCTATGGTTTCATTCAAACTACGAAGCTTGTCTTTGACATCATTCAAGTCAACATTTAATTTAAACATTTCTTCTGTAGCAATTGATTTTGAAGACGAAAGCTGAGATTGGCTTTCTTGCAACTTGAAGAATGCGTCACGAATATGCTTCAATGTTTCAGTCACAATAGATACCTTACTGTGCTCCTGTGATGACAATGAGACAGACATAAGAGTAGATGTCGCCTGTCGGAAGAATCGCAGACGAGCCGACAGCTGCCTCAGCAATGACTTTTGCAAAGTATGATGAGCTTTCTGCTGTGAATGATCTCCAAGCTTAGCGACAATAGATCTATATTTATTCAGCAGTTGACTTGTTGACTGAAGTACTTCTATTTTCACCTGGGTCATACACTTTTCTACGCTGAGCTGATCCTGAAACATGGAACACAAACATTACTTGCATTACTGATCAGTTGGTGGGGATATAAGATTGAATGAATGCTCACCTGAAAAGAGAGGGGTTGACGTTTTGCTCCTTTCTCACACACTACCAGAAGAGTCCAAACTCTTTCTTCAGGAGTCAAATTCGAAAGCACAAATTGAACTAGATTTGGAACAGTCACTTCAGTAGAAGGGGGGAAAATGTGACTTTCAGATTTCCTATTTATGACAAACAAGTAAAAAATGAAACAATGACCTCCCAAAATTAGGGGAATAACTTAAGTTTCAAGAGTTGAGTTGACACAGCACATGATACTTACAAAACTGAGGGAAAGAAAATGATGCTTGGGAACCGGTGGACAGTGAACTCCCAAGGTAAATCATTATTATCACCATCAATTCTAGCAAAATCAATAGTGTTCACTGATTTCAGGGTATGGGCAACAGTTAGGAAAACATGAGAAACTGCATTGCAAAATGCACAATATGGGGTATAGTACATAAGAATGACATTCTGAATGTAAGAAACAGATAAGAACAAATCAGTGTGGATACTTTACTTTACTGGAGATTCTCTAATTAAACTTTTCTTAAATAAGACATACCTTCCTGTTCTCTAATACTTTTGACCTAAAGTTGGAAAAATTCAACTCCTCAACACAGACCATGTTACTATTGCAGTCACCAGGATCTCGGGAATTATACCGAGACAAGTGAATGGTCTGTGTGGGTCCCAATGAAAATCCATGAGATCGAGGCTTGGCGGCCGTTGTACGGTGCCATCTGGGCAAATTATTTGAAACATAGTCTCGTATGAAATTTGTCAAGGAGACCTTGTTAATTTCTCCTTGGAGGAGAAACTGTGCCTCTGACTAAAAATAAAAATGAATTCACATAGAGAAGAAAGAAAATTGATAGTTAATATGGTGTTAGCTTTTACTTACCTGAGGGTCAACAATTAGAACAACACTTTTGTCTTTACGATGGAGCACATCAACTCCCAATCGCTCAGCAAAATGGTGCAATTGTAGTGAATCAAAGGCAAGAAATGATAAAGTCTTATTGGCTGAACAGCGAAGCCCTTTTACTCCTGGATTGCCCTGCTCCTGTGGATAGAAACAGAATGATTGATAGCATCACAAGATAAATTTATATTTTGTGGAAACCTTAAGGCTAAGTAGTTTTACCAGTTCCTTTTCAACAGGGAAAAAGGGTTTGTCAAGGAGTCTTGCATGCCGCAGCTGCCGACAGCGTTCCAGCTGCGCCCATTCTTTAAGTTCCTCAGCCCACAAAGAATCTCCAGATCCAGTTAACATTGATGTAAGTCTAAGGTCAGCAAAGTTAAAAAGGATATGACAGCAAAAAAGTACATCCAATTAGCCGAGAACACAGTTCAAAACTGAGACAAATACATACCCATTAAACATAGCACTATTAGTCTTTTGTAAACGTTGGAAGTCATGCCGCTGATAAACAGGCTGTTTCTTCTTCATAAGACCAAAGAAGTTAAAAAATCTCCGGAATATAGGTTCATCTTCTTCTGATTTTTCTAGTTAATGCAATTAAAAAGTCAGTCCACACAAAAAGGTTGAGAGAATACACAATTTGGTATGGAATGGAACTAAGAATTACCTTCCAATGGAATATCTGCTCCATAATCTAAAAGACCACAGTATCCATAATCAAATCCGCTCCTTGGAGGTAATAAGGGCTTTTCTGTTTCTTTTTTACTCTGACAAGAAGAACTTATATTGTTAAAACTAATTAAAGAGTCTCCGGGCTTATTCATGGAAAAGACTTGGGTAACACCTGCTCGTTCATTGATCCCTCTAGCCCACGATGCACAAGACTGTAACAGATTACGATACTGGTACTGAACCCCTGAGAAAGAAAAATAAAGGAGAGACAAACAGGTTAGTAGGCACTCTTCTATACAAAGACAAAATATACAGTACCAGGAAACAGCTGAGCAGAAAATAGAACAAGCTTACCTGGTCGAACAACCTGAACTGCTTCTGTTAACTCATTAATCCAGGCAGTACCATCACAGTTAAAAAAAGAAAATGCAACTTCCCGAAGCTGAGAACAAAACACAACAATCATTACAAATAGCTATATTAGAAATCGCAGAAGTGGATATAGTAAAGTAATGTCAATCACAAAAGGCAAAAATTATCATACCAAGTTATAGTAGTATACATGACGAAGCAAGGGATTACGTGGAGTGAACATTACAAGAACAGGTCCACTTTTAAGGTACGAGGATAAAGTTAATGATTTTACTCCAGGAGGCTGAACCCAGGCAGTAGCTTGTTGGAGATTGTTTTCTATCCACTGTGTGATTGACTCTACAGTCCATGAGTCCACTGGTGTTTTCTTGGGGAGGAAAATTCAGCACATTAAAAAAGATTAAATTTCTGGAGAACTGTCCAAAGAGGAGAAAGTCTTACATAAGCAACAGTTTCATTCCACAGAAACAAATGAATAACAGCAACATCTGAAATGTCTCCAAATTCATTGCTATCCGGATTTAATGCAACAGTGAATGCAATATCATTCAACTGGTCAACATCAGAAAACTTTCGAGCTGCTTCATAAAACACATTGTAGGCTATCTCAGCCTCATCTCTGTATTCCATAAAATTTAGATTGCATAATACAACAGCCTGTGCAAAGAGAAAGTCATGAAACAAACTATAAGTCAAAACAGATTTTTTGATAACTTCTAATTTGCCAAGGCACTTACGTCATGTTCAGTCAATTTATAGGCTAAATCAGTTTCATTATGGAGTACGCTCAGAGGCCGCAGGGCAGTTTTCAGGTATCGAATAATGTGTGATACCTCACGAACCCCACGGTATTGTTGAGCGGGCGACTTGTGGGGTTGAAGAATTAACAAGGGAAATGTGTAAATTTTGTTAGTTTGGCGGCACTCACTACCTGGCTGCCAACAATTTATAGCAGCAAAATATATCTGAAAAACATACACAAAAGAGATGGAGGTGACAGGAAAGTTTAATTATGAAGCTAAGACATAGGCAGTAAGATTATAATTTAAAAAAAAAAAAAGTCTGACCTCTTTATGATAGTAGCGGGCAGCAGCTTCAAAATGCCACCTTACTCTTTGAGATTCTGCATCCCATGGTGCATAATACATCACAAAGGACATCTCCGACAAGGACATTTTTTCAAGCGCAGTTTTCAGTTCTCCTGTGTAGTAGTCATCTACAACTGTACTTGGCCTTAGAAAACGCACTGGAGTAGGAACGCTCGATACTTTGGGTGGTCTGAAACAATGGCAAAGCATAAATTGTAGGACAAAAAAAAATCATGCTTCAAGATCATTACACCATCTAAGATAAGATATCCCAAAGTATATTGGTTGACAGCCATCATCACATCAGCTGTTCCCAATACTTGTTGACATCACATAACCAGGCACCAAAAAGGGAGAATAAAAGCGCGGGATGAACTCACGGGCTATGGAGGGCTGCATAACACGTCAAAGTGACAGCCAAGAGAAAGCAGAGTTCTTTCCCGTGGTGATACATATTGTCTCTCCAATTTGTATCATGTACACTATTTTGAGTCCTGTCCCGGTCTTGGCACAACATAACCATTCTCATTCCTAGCTCGGGAAGGCCACGTCATAAGTGGACCGGAGGCTTCCCACAATTTCCAAATAAAAATCAAGAGACTATTTGGTTTATTTCGGACGGGTAAGAGTACGAATGAATTTGGCAATTTCTCAAATATGGTAACAAAATAACAGCGAAAGGGGTATCGAGCAAAATGCCAGCTGGCGGGTAGTGAGTGAGTTATTGGCAGTGGTGGAGTATTTGCACGATAACATGACGTTGTTTTGTTTATGTTTTTTTAAAAACATAACCTATTTTATCCGATCACCGATTACCGGTGTTGTAAATGGAACATTACTCTACCCAATGAGATAATAACAGTTCAAGTATTTTAAATGGCCAAACATCTTGTATTCTTGCCATGTTCCATAGCAGAAAATAAATGTGGGGCCTTATATGGCATTGTCAAAGAGACAAAATGTGAAAAGAATATATCTGTCTGCTACTTTATCTTGAATGTTGTGACCTCAAGTGATCAGGACAAGGAACATGACGATGATCATATACTGATTGGTGAAAGTGTCGATGATGATCAGTCATTGCTGCTAAACATATGGATTCCATGTTCTAAGAAATCCAAAAACAATGCCATACAGATACGATTGGTAGATGACCACTTCCAAACTTCATTTACGGCCAATGTCGAACAAACTGATGCATCTGCTGTCATTATAGTTTACGATGAAGACGTTTTTAGATATTCTGAACTCTTGAGAACTGATGAACATGGTAATGGCCATGACCAGTTCCAAGTTCTGGGTGCTCTTATACAGGAACAATCCAAGAGTAATACATACAAATTTTGGGGGTGCTTCAGATTTTTGTGTACTGTCTTATTAGCCATAAGCAACCTTGTTCTAAACATTGTATCCCTGGCAAAACCTGTGTTTCAATATTCCGCTCTCTGGGTTCGTTTCCATGGCTTTTTGAGCTCACTCTCTTGGGCTCTAGGTTCATTAAAAAGTGAAAAGAAGGTAAAAAAAATTCCTCTCCTCCTAAATTTTCTTATTTACATGTAGTTTTTATTTGATGTTACAATGAATATTTTCTCATGCAGGTTTCCCTGAAGGTTGGAAATTATATCATAGCTACTGCTGTAGATATTTGTGCTGGAATTTTACTTCTTAATTTCATTAACTACATTGGATTTACAACTCCTCTTTCTGACTATGTTCTGAGTATTGCAAAGGTATTATTAACGAAAATTCTGCATGCCATATAACATATGAAAGGTTTAAAAACTATGTTTTCTCTGTTGTGACTCTAAGGAAGTTGTGCACTCCCTCCAATATTTATTGCAATGGCTCTCTGGGTCTCCTGCTGGCCTTAAACTGAATGGACCTTTCAACTTAATGATGGGTCGATTTTTCATGTACCATATTAAATTGTGGTGGATTTTTCTGTGTAAGTTCCAAGTAATCTCTTCAGCTTCTAGACTTTCTGTTCATGTGTTAATTTTTCTTTCAAAACTTTTGGTTTTTTCAGCTGTGGCACAGCCTTTACTGGAGCTCCTCTTTTCTATATTTTTGATCCTTGGAAAATTGGGAGTGACATTTCAAGCAGCAATCCTTGAAGACCTCCTATTCCTGGTTAGCTTTCACATTTATTGCATTTATGTATATGCTGCAAGGTAAGCAAAACGTTTTTTTCTTTGCCAATCTTTTTTTCTTTAACATTGAGTTAACCTCCTTCTCTTCTTCAATGGTTCCTCTGCAGAGTTTACTATCTTCAACTGTCTGGCCTACAATCACTTTGGAGACTTTTCCTAGGTCGTAAACATAATCCACTACGTGAGCGTGTGGATTCATGTCAATACTCTCCAGATCAGTTGTTTGTTGGCACACTCACATTTACAATTATTTTGTTCTTATTGCCAACCACACTCATGTACTATGTAGTCTTTACTACTGTAAGTATCCTTTGGTTTAAAGAATGCAAGAAAAAAAAATGGAAAAAAAAGTTAGGTGCTTAAAACATTTTTTCTCTGTGTCAGATGCGTCTTGTTCTACTGAGTCTTTCAGGGACATTGACTCAAGCATGCTTTGTTTTTCATGCTTTACCCGTTTTTGCAACCATTCACTGGTTGTGTCGATCAAACCGAGTAACCAGTAAGTTATATGTCTCTGTTTGATCTTTGTTTAGATAGTAATAATAATGGATCTTAACACATTTATAACTCTCCTTTTCACAGAATCTATTTATGTTACTTCAAAGTCTACTTCCAAGAACTCTTCAATAGTATTATTTGTTACTCCAGTGGCTGATTCTTGGTGGAATACCGTTAAGTGTTGCTTACCTGACACAGTTCAGAGGCCTTCTACTGTTAATTTCGGACAGTTAGTCCATAAATTAATGGTAGGAGAGCTTGTGTATCCTGTTGATATTGATTGGAACAGTTAAATAAAAAAATTCATCTGTTTTTGTTTTTTGTTTGTTTTTTTTAATTTTATTTTACTTCTGACTTAGACCACAATTCATATATAAATGTACATGGAGCTTGCTGAGACCAAATGGCACAACTTAAAACATATCTTGTTTTGATGACTTTTAAAAAATTACATCAAAACTGAATAAATTAGTCAACCATAATATTTCCCTTTAGCCTAAAGCACTTAAAATTTGCTGGGAGAAACTTTGGTCCATGATGCTCTCATTTTTTGTCTCAGTTGTGCTATTTGTGCACAGAATGCCCCTTAGGCCTTTACTCAATAGTAACAGCATCTTGATTAGCCTAATATTCTTGGCATCATGCATTCTGGTACAACTTGTCATTGATGCTAAAAATAATCACACTGGTGGTTAATTCAATGACCAACAGAGGTGCAAAGTACACGCACACAGTTCAATGAGGTCTTACTTCAAAACATGAAATTAAAATTTTAAGTTTTATTTTGCTGCTCACATTGTCAAAAATAATTGAACTGTGGAACAATTTGGAAGAACACAGCCCATGTTTCTTGCTTAATCCCACGATCTGTTCCTGCATTTTACTTATAATCTCATCTCAAATTAAAACACAATCTGTACACACTTGGAGGTCTTAACTTCTGTATTTACATAATGCACACACATTAATACTAGTGTAACAAAAGAAATAAAATTTCTTGTTTATAGGTCTTCAAAGGTACTCCAAACAAACGACACTCAGGAAATAATTAAAATATTTAACTAAAGGATTGTCCCTTATTTTGGATACAGTTCATCTAAGTGCGATTCGATTCCGCTCACAGACGGCTGTCGAGCACCTGTCCAGGATTTTCCAGCGCCGATCTCCGCTGCTCGATTGCTTTGAGGAGCTTCTTGCGAGGCCCCAGGGGAAGTCCCAACGTCTTGAGGTCTTCATCGGACAGGAGGACCAGCGCGTCGAGGTCGATCTGCTCCGAGATGAAGCGGCCGGCGTACTCCCGCAGGCCGGACGCGATGAGGAAGAGCTGGACCGTGGACCACTGCGGGTCCACGTCGTCCTCGTCATCTGCGGAGCAAGGAAAGCCGGCGGTCAACCCTCGGAAAAGTGCAAAACTGCAGAGGGGGCAAAAGGACCCGCATCCTAGGTAGCCACATGGAAGGTAGGCGAAAAGCGACACTCCTGAACACTCACCACTGGGCAGGTCGGATTGGTCCCAGGGCAGCTGCAGCTGGGCGGCGTGCTGGTTGCGCTGGGCCAGGCTGCCCGCGCTGCCGATGCTCGAGTCCTCGGCGCGCCCCTCCGAGCCAGACCGGCCGTCCGACCGGCCGTCCGACCGGCCGTCGGAGCGCTCGCTGGACGCCCCGAAGCCGCCACCGTCGCCGTCGTGCTCCAGGTCGTCCTTGTCCAGCAGCGACGGCAGCGTGCTCAGCGTGTTGGTGATGGCGGACGCCCTGCGGCAGCCAGGCGAAAGCCAGGCGAAACGAAAGCCCTTACAGTGAGGAGCACACGCCGTCGCCGACGTGCAGGCGGTCCGGGCCGTGACGGCGGACTTACCTGAAGGCGACGCTGCCGAAGCCCGGCCGGTCGAAGATGCTGGGCGGCTCCACGAGGGGGATGTCGTCGCCCAGGCCGCTGTCCGAGTTGTGCAGGAAGTCCGGCTGCGACGTGGAGCGGCTCAGCCCCGAGACGAGCTCGCCCGCCGTGTCGAACACGTCGGCGATCTTGCCGCGCTTGCCCACTGCGAATCAAAGGGTTCAGAGGGGCCCTCACGAGGGACCTCAGTCAGGCCATAGCGCAGGGTACTCACCGGCAGCGGGGCTCTCGTACGAGCCGACGAGGAGGATGTTGGAGCCGGAGCGCAGGCCGGTGAGGGAGCGCGTGGAGCGGTTGCCGCCCTCGTCCACCACCTGGCCCACCTTGAAGTCGCCGTTGGCCTGCGCGGGCTGCTGCGCACCGAGCCCCAGGCCGCGCTGCCGCTGCTGCACGCGCTTCTGGACGCCGCCGGCCGCCGCGGCGCCGGCCTTCTTGAGCAGCGTGCCGGCCGCGGAGCCCGCGGACGGGTTGGGCGGCGCGGCCACGATCTGGGAGAAGCGCTGCGAGTCGCCGCCGCGGCCCGCGTTGCTGGACACGGAGCCGCGGCCCAGCGCGCGCAGCTTGAGCGCGGCCAGCACGGCGCCCGCCCTGGCCTCCTCGTTGGCCTGCATGCTGTCCTCGCGCATGCGGCGCCGCTCGTCCAGCAGCCGCCGCTGCTCCCGCTCGCGCTCCTTGTCCGCGCGCCGCTGCAGCTTGGCGTACGTCTTGGCCAGCTTGTCCGCGTCCTTCTGCGCCTTCTCCTTGAGCGCGCGCACCCGCTTCCTGAAAGCAGAGAGAACCCCTTTCAGTGTGCTGTCTAGCGGCCACGCCCGGCCACGCCGATAACGGAATCCGTAGTTTCGTATTTTGCGTGCGGCCCGCAGCCAGGGCGATTCCGAACACCGCTTTCATCGCTATGTCTCTCTCGCACTTACGGGGCGTCCCGTACAGGTGCGAGTGAGACAAGCGTAATCAGTCTGCTGCCAGCCATGCCGGCCCGACTGACGGCCGCCACCGTCCGAAGGCCCCGAAGGCCCCGAAGGCCCCGAAGGGGGGCGCGGGGGCGCCTATTAGTGGTCTTCACGCGAAGGTGGCGTGGCGTGCCGGTGGGATGGGCTGCCAGCTAGTTGATCCTAGACCGGGGCGGGGCGGGGCGGGGCGGGGCGGGCGGGGGGCGGCCCTAAAGGTCAGGTCGCCAGACGTGCCTGCTCAAGGGTCCTGCGCAGCGCGCAGCCTGGCTGCCCCCGTGGTGTCAGCAGCAGCCGGCCTGGACCGCCGAGGTAAGGGGAGTCCCTTTTGGACGGTGTGCATGTGCGTGGCAGAGATACGGGTCTCGATCCATTGCGGTCCAGCCTTTCAAGTTCAAGTCGAATCCAAGTCGAATCCAGCCGAGCGCCTGCGAACCAGAGGGATGCTGCCCCGCCGCACCGCGCCGTCTCGCGGGCCGGCCTACCTCGCCCCTGCACCATTACCACTACCATTAAGGGCTAGACCACCGCCTTCACTTGTCCGCCGCGGCCAACCGGGACAGCGAGGGGATCTACAAATCCCATTTGATCCACGACGCGTTTCTCCTCAGCGTCGCTCTGTCTCTCTCGCACTCGTGGGGCGCCCCGTAAGGGTGCGAGAGAGACGGGCTGCGCCGCGGCGGCACTAGACTACACGATCGAGCCCACTGCTCCAAGCGGGAACAAGAAGCCGTTGCGGAGGCAGGCTTCTCTCACAAAGCCTCCGCGCCGCGCGGCCTAGCCGATTCCTTCACTGAATACGGGGTAATCCCCGACACATGCCTGCATGCTGCATGCCTGCATGGCCACGGCCGTGACTTGCACGCCCCGGCACTTCGGCCCTCCCCGTCCGTCCGGGGTCCGGAGCGTCCGGCAGCACACCGATTCCGAGAGTCCGCTTTTCGTCGCTCCGTCTCTCTCGCACTCATGAGGCGTTCCGCACGGGTGCGAGAGAGACAGAGCGACGAAAACGCCTCTCGGAGTGGGTCTGCAGGCACAAAGGAAGTGGCGGGGCACAAAGCGGCGAGCCGAGCGCAAGCCTAGCGCCGCGACTAGGGCTTTCAGCGTTCAGCTCGGCTTTCATCGGGCCGCTTTCAGCATTCAGCCTTCAGCACAACAAGACCCCCTTCCTGTCCGCCTCCCTGCCGAGGATCATGCACCGTGGACGACGTGGAGGGGTGCGCGGACGTGGCTTCCCTCCACTGTGAAACAAGTCAAGTGAAACCGCCGAAAATTTGGTCGATTCTTTAAGTATAAAATACTATCATTTTGACTAGGACTCTTCATTAATATTTCGTCAAAAGAGCAGCTGACACTGATCGTTTTAGTAGACGATTTGACTTTTTCAACTTTTTCAAGTGTCGGGACCGCCAAGACGCATTGAAAAACCGCCGCCTGTCAAATCATCCTGCGGAGAAAAATGTTCGGCGCCCACAAGCAGCCTCTCTTCTCGCACGGGCAGCGGAGCACTGAAAGCGGCTCGTTTCGTTTCCACGATCGCGCATCGCGCATCGCGACGCAGCGGCTTCGTCGCTCTGTCTCTCTCGCACTCGTGAGGCGTCCCGTAGGGGTGCGAGAGAGACAGAGCGAGCCTTCGGAATCGGGCGTTAGCCCCGCAGCTACGCAGCCCCAGCGAGGCGTGAACCAGCGCAGCGGCGCCGCCGCTAATCTGATTTCCAGCTTCAAGGAAAATGTGGCAGGCCGACCGGGAAGAAGGAGAAGAGGAAGAAGAAGAAGATGCGCCGCAACAGTCTGCAGTCTTGCAGTGCGGTGCCGGAAGGGACAGGGAACGGGGAAGGACGGCACTGGCCGTCGCATCGACGTCGGGGAGAAAGAAACGACAACAACTCGAGAGCGACGCCAGCCGCGTGATTCAGAAGAGCGGTTCGGTTCGTCGCTCTGTCTCTCTCGCTCCCCCACGGAGCGCCCCATGAGTGCGACAGAGACAGATAGAGGAGACACGTGGTCGCACCTGTTGCCCGTCTCCTCCTTGGAGGCGGCGGCGTCCAGGAAGCGCAGGATGTCCTGGCGGTTGTTGATGGCGGCCAGCTCCTGCGGCGTGTGGAAGTCGATGTCCAGGGCCCACAGGTTGGCGCCGAAGTTGGTGAGGAAGGTGACGCACGGCAGGTGGCCGCGCGCCGCCGCGAAGTGCAGCGCCGTGTTGCCGAAGTGGTCCGCCTTGTCCGGGTCGCCGCTGCGGAAAGCGAAACACAAAACGGAATTCAATTCACAAACTGTACTTAGCGCCGAGGGCAGTGTCGTGGGTCGCCATCACGTCGCAGTGACGAGCGTCTCGCGGACGCCGCGGACGGCACTGCTCTGTCTCTCTCGCACCCCTACGGGCCGCCCCATGAGTGCGAGAGAGACAGAGCGACGAAAGCACTGCTCGGAATCAGTCTGCAGAGACGCCGCGTCCTGCGACCGTGGGACGGTCTCTCGGAGGGTCGCCTCTTCATGCACACGGCCTTTCCCACCTTGCAGCGGGTGCCCCCTCCCCCTCCCCTCCCCCTCCCCCTTCCCCTTCCCGGCCGCGCTCCCTCCCCTAATGCAATTAAATCGTTTCCCGTGTCTGACCGAAATTACAGGGCGAGTTCGTAGCGCTGCTCGGCGCTGCCGCCGTCATTCGTCAGTCAGTCATCCGCCTGACTCTGTCGCTCTGTCTCTCTCGCACCCCTACGGGACGCCCCATGAGTGCGAGAGAGACAGAGCGACGAAGCGAGGCGGCCGGCGTGCAGTGCGGCGGCGTGCCGGCCAGGCGACTGGGGCGATAAGTGGTGACTTTTTTCTCGCCTCATTCCTGCCTACGTTTCCCCCTTTCGGCTGAGTGGGAGCAATCGAAGAAATTGGTTCTGAGGAAGCTGAGGCATCGCGGCCCACCCTGGCGTCTAGGCCCCGAATGTACTCTTGTAGACAAAATGATGTTGCTACAAAGAAAATGAACCACATTTTAGTCTGTTTGCCTTTATTTTGCCAGTGAAATCCGGATACAATCAGAAATTCAAGACGAAAAGTCCGGCTGTGTGTGCGGACATCCGTGTGCATCCTGGTGGACTCGGTCGCGCGTGCCGTGGTCCGCACTCCGCACTTGGAGCCGTTCCAGCACTTGCCGTCGCTGCCTCCAGAGTCCGTTTCCAGAGTCTCCAGCGGCGACCCTAAATCCCGGTCCTGTCCAGAAGCAGACCACGCCGGCCTGGCGCACTGCCCCTGCGACCCGCAGTCCGGTGCAAAACACGGCCTGTCTCGTCTCTCTCGCTCTCAAGGGTCGTGCCGTCCGAGTGCGAGAGAGACGGAGCGACTGCACAGCCTTGCCCTAGGTCGCAGCGCGCCATATTTCGGGCAGGTGCCCGCCGGCAGGCCGGTCGGACTGGACGGCGGTGACGGCAGAGAGGCCTTCCAGAGTGCCTTCCAGGTGAGAAGCTAACCGCAGCCAACTAGTCATCTAGGGCAGCGAGCGGCAGCGAGGGCAGGCGCGGCCAGGTCGCCACTCTAGTGCCGCGGCAGCCCTGGCGGTCAGGCGTGTCGCTTTCAGCCTGCTTTCAGCCGCCGGCCGGGTCAACGGAAAAAGTCACGACTTGATTATATTTGCTTCCGAGAGCCCCGCCGCCCGCCACCGTCCCCCAGCCATCCCGGGCGTGCCTTCGCTAATTAGCGGTGGGGTCACCGTCTGCCTGCCCGGGCCCCGTCTCTCTCGCACCTGTAGGGGACGCCCCAGGAGTGCGAGAGAGACACAGCGACGAGAACGACTCTCGGAATCGGTCTGCTGGCCCAAGAGCAGAGGGCAGAGGAGCGGCCCCTGGCACTCTACATGCCGCAAGCCGCCACGCCGCGAAGCGTGCTCGTCGCCGCCCCAAAGACCCTCCCCTTCCTTCCCACGCCCTGACGCAACACACACAGTTTAGCACGGGCCGATATGACGAGGGGCCTCGGACACCTCACCTGCAGTCACGCCTCCCGCCCCGCCCCGCCCCGCCCCGCCCCACACATCATCCGGCCGCACGCCTCGCGCCTCGCTCACGCCCCCCGCACGACCGCCGGGCACGACCGCCGTGCTCCGGCGGCGGGGCACGGCGTCGACCCAGCATCCGCAGCACGGGAAGCACGCCGGTCCAAAAGTCGGGGCGGCTGCAGCCGTCTGATTCCGAACTTCGTCACTCTGTCTCTCTCGCACCCCTACGGACCGCCCCATGAGTGCGAGAGAGACAGAGCGACGAAAGCAGTGCTCGGAATCAGACGGCAGGCGACGCGGCTGTCGCGGGCGGCGAGGACGGCCGGCCCAGACCATCCTAGACGGTCTAGATCCGAGACGCGGTCTGCGCCGCCCCGCCGCTGCGGCCAGCCAGCCAGCCTGCCAGCCGGCGGACCCCCCGAGGCCACGAGGCGCCACGAGGGCAGCACAGCAAGCAAAGCGAGCAGAGCGAGGCGGCCGGCCGTCGCATTAGGCCGTGCGAGATCGCCATTGGCCTGGCGGCGCGGTGCCGCGGTGGTCGCGGACTCGCAGTGGAGTGGGGTCGTATATATTGGCAATATGCGCGGCGGGACGATAAAGTCGTGAGAAATCAGACCAGCGACGTGTGCGGGAGGGGGCAGGGGGGCAGTGGCTTTCCCTCATAAACCGACGCGGAATAGGAGTGAAGCAATCGACGCGCGGCGCATGTACTACACACCCTGCAGCCACACACACACACACACACAGCGCCCTTTCTCTACGCTGTGTGTGTGTGTGTGTGCGGTGTGTGTGTGTGCTGAGCCATTGATGTGATTTACAAGAGTAGGCGCCGCTCCTGCATGTCCTGGTTTACGTGAAGTGGTGGTAGTGGTTAGTGGTGGTGGTCTGGCCACACACATACTTACAGGCAGCGCGCTCACAGACACACACACACACACTAACACGGCTGCTGCTGCCCGCACCTCACGTCGCAAATGCGCCCATGTGCGCTCTAGTGAGGAACTGGCCGCCGCCTCGCCTCGCCACGTGCATCGCGCACTGCACCGCAGAGAACGTAGCCGGAGACTTGAACGAGGGTGCGGTGCGCGCCGCGCCCACCCAGCGCGTCAGCCTGACGGACTGCCTGACGGGCTGCCGGCCGCGCGCCACTAACTGCACGCACACGCGGACGAGGCGCGCTGTCTCTCTCGCACTCATGGGGCCAGGTGCGAGAGAGACAGCGCGCCATGGCTCTGCCGTGTGGAGGTGGAGGAGAAGGAGGCCCCGGCGCCCTAGCGGGGCCTTCGAGGGCCGGGTAGGGCCCGGTAGGGCCGGGCAGTCCGGGCGGTGCGCGGCCCAGGAAAATGCCCGCAGTGATGCAACGGGGCCTCGAGGGCCTGGCCTGCGATGCCTGCGATGCCTGCGAGGGCCCTGCATAGCGAAGCGTAGCGCGTCGTCTGCGCTCTGCGCCGAGCAGTGCGATGTGCGGTCGCGGCACGGCGCGGCACGGCGCGGCGACACGGTGAGTGGGCCGATCGCAACGCACAAGTGCTGTGCGAATGCCCTCTGTGTGCGTGTGTGTGTGTGTGTGTGTGTGTGTGTGTGTGTGTGTGTGTGTTGCACTGACTACAGCGATAAGTCGCGTTCGACGACAAGGCCCCAAGAAAGAGGCCGCACAGACGCGGACGTTAAGTGTGAACGACAAAAAAAAAACTCAGCTTTAGGCGGGGATCGAACCGCAGACCCTTCGTGTGGCGGACTCCGCCCGCGCCTTTCGCCGGGTTACGCGGCGGCGTGCATCGCGTTCCAGATGACCAGGGCCCAGGGCCCCCAGGGCCACGCGGACGTCAGGACGTAACCTGCAGGGCCGTTCTCGTCGCTCTGTCTCTCTCGCACCCACACGGCACGGCTCACGAGTGCGAGAGAGACGGAGCGATCCGTCTGCCGGCAGAGGCGCTCGGCCCGGGATGACGGACGGCCGGCCGGCCGGCTGATAACCTTCCTGACGTAACGCCGACGCCCCCAAGGACGTGGCCGACGTGGCCAGCAGGGCAGACTGATCCCGAAGAGTCGTCTCGTCGCTCTGTCTCTGTCGCACTCATGGGGCGTCCCGTGGAGGGTGCGAGAGAGACAGAGACGAAGCAGGACGCGCAGGAGAAAGGGCGAGGCTGCCCTTGATCGCGGACAAGGCCTCGTTTTTCTAACTCTTTTTTAGTGGGGGCTTTACGGACGCAGCGCGGCAGCGCGGGGACGCGGTTGTTGACCACAGCGGGCGGGGCCGCGGGGCGAGTCGAAGATGAGAGGACTTTAGTGGACGACGGGGCGAACCACGCCGCGCTACACTGCCAACGCCGTCCGGAAAAGAAATTTCGGTTGTTACTTACCCCCTGCCGACGATGAGCCTGAGCGCGTCGAGCTGGCCCTCGAAGGAGGCCCACAGCGTGGGTGTCATGCCGTCCTCGTCGCGCGTGTTGAGGTCCTTCTTGTTGGCCTCCTTGAGCGCGTCCAGCAGCCCGTCGCGCGCCGCCCTGCAACAACAACAACAACAACAACAACGTCAAGACCAGCTTGTACGAGTCCGAAGGCGACCGGAACACGAGACAATGGAGACGAGACGTCTCATTACAAGATGTCCCCGTTGCCGCCCTTGCCCGTGGCCGCCGGCGAGGCGGCGAGGCTGCCAGGCACCAAGGCCGCAAGGTCAAGATTGGGCGGAAGGCAGTCACTTTGTTATCACCGCGGCAGGCTGACTTCACTCTCTCTCTCTCGCACTCGTGGGGCGTCCCGTGTAGGTGCGACAGAGACAGAGCGACGAAGACGACCCTCGGAATGAGTCCGCCGTCGCGGCTGTCGCCTCCCACAACGGACGTGCTTTACCCGCCTCGTCTTCCGTAATTACCTCATCTGGACAATTATTTCGTACTTCGCGACACCAGACTGATCCCCGGTCACTCTGTCTCTCTCGCGCCTGTGCGGGGCTCCCCACGAGTGCGAGAGAGAGAGAGCGAGAGCGGGGACACGACGAGGCGCTTCCGGCCGATTAACACCCCGCCATGACGCCTTCCGGCCTTGCACGTGCGGGGCGGGGCGGGGCGGAGCGCCGCAACAGGCCGATCCAGTGCTTTCGTTTCTGTCTCTCTCGCACGCGTGGGCCGGTCGGGGCGGTCCGCAGCGGTGCGAGAGAGACAGAGCGACGCGGGACGCGGTGCGGGCCGCGCCGTACAGTATTCGCAGAGAGAAATTAGCCGCGAATAAGAGGAAAGGAACAACGGATCGCAATTCGGGGCGCTGGGCGTTCGTTTCACCGACCACGACTCGCCCCGCCCCGCCCCGCCCCGCCCGCCCCCGTGATCCCCATTACCACCGCGATTAGGCATCGGCGTGTCCCGCCCAATTATCGAGATCCGCGGCGCGGCGAGCCAGCTGGGGCGGGGCGGGGTGGGGTGGGCGCGGGGCCCGCGGTGCGTACCGAGTTAATAAAGAGGTAAAAGTCGTGTGACTTGCAGGAAGCGCTGCGTGCATTAGGGTCAGACTGCCGAGCGCGATTCCAAAGGATCCTCGTTTCGTCGCTCTGTCTCTCTCGCACCGCAACGGGACGCTCCGTGAGTGCGACAGAGAGTGCGACGAACCGATCCTCCGGTCGCTCGGCTGGCGACTGGCGGGCAGCCACGAGCTGCGACGGGGGACAGGCGGCCGCAGCGCTCCCGGCCGGCCTGACGCACTGCTTGACTGGCTCACCGCGCCGGGGCGGGAGCGGCCGCATACCAGCCCGATTCCGAGTCGCTTCTCGCTGTCTCTCTCGCAGGTGGGCCGGTCGCGCTACCCACCGGGTGCGAGACAGCAGGCCGACGCGGGACCCGGTCGCGGGCCGCTGCCGTCATTCATCGGCGAGGCATTAGCCGCATAACGAGCCGCCAGTGACAACGCCATCGCATCGTGGCGCTGGGAGTTCGCAGGAGCCCACGACTCGCCCTTTGTCCTGCCGGCCCCGTGTCGCCTTGGCGCGGCTGCCGGTTCCCGTCCGTTTTTGCCCGCGCCGCGGCGAGCGCGGCCGGCGACGGGCGGTGGCGCCACGCCGCCACGCGCCTACGGTGTAGTCGGTTTTTGTGGTGTGACGGTGCAGCGGCTGCGTGCGGGCCTGCCGAGCGCCGATTCCATGAAGGATCCTGGTCGTTTTCGTCGCTCTGTCTCTCTCGCCCGGCACGGGACGCCCATGAGTGCGAAGAGACGGCGAGCGAAACCGATCCCGTCGCGGCTGCGACTGCGGGCAGCACGCTGCCGGCGCCGCGCCGCTGGCCTCCACGGCCACGGTCGACGCGACGCAATGAACACGGCTACACCGCTAGCTCGCCGCCCGTGCGGAGGAGAACATTGGTGCATACTATTCAGCAGACTGATTCCGAGAGTCGTCTTCGTCGCTGTGTCTCTCTCGCACTGGGGCGTCCCGTATCGGTGCGAGAAAGACTCTTGGAATGTGTTCACAGAGGCATGTGGTCATTCATTCTAGGCATCCCTGTCGCATTTCCCCACTCGCATAATCGCAGCTTCCGTGCAGTGAAACGACATAGCAGTGGCGCAGCATGGCACTATCGGCAGGACGCCCACCGAGTGTCTCGCTGTTCGCTGTTCGTTATTCGCAGTGGCGCGGCCGGGCTGCCTGTGTTGGCCTGTGTGCGCCGGTGCCGTTACCCTGTCCGTCTCTTTGTCACCCCGCAGCACCGAGCCGCGCCGAGCAGCGAGCAGCCCGGACGACGCGCCGGATGTGCCGCCAACGCCGCCAACGCCGCCAACGGTGCTCCAGTTTCCGGTTTCTGCTGTTTTGGTTGATGACGCGGGGCGTGGCGCGGCGTGGCGTGGCGTGGCCTGCCACCGAGGGTGGCCCTATCCTCACGACTGCGTATACTGCGTACTGCAGACTGAGAGTCGTTTTCGTCGCTCTGTCTCTCTCGCGCCTGTACGGTACGCCCCATGAGTGCGAGAGAGACAGAGCGACGAAAGAGTCGTCGTAATGCCCGGTGCCTGCCGGTGCCCGACGCGAGGCCCACAGGGTCCACCCGAGCGGCCGTCGCCGGCCATTGGCCATTTCCCTGCTGAATGAGGCACTTCCTTACGGCGGCCCCGCACAATGACGCCGTTCGCGTGCCTGCCTCCAGTGGGCCTCCAGTGGGCCGCGCACGGCCGGGCCGCGGGGCGCTCCGTGAGGGTGCGAGAGAGAAAGCGCGATGGCGCACTGTTGGGCACGAAGCTGGGTCGGCCCTCCGGCACACAATGCACTGCGCGATGCTGAGGAGGAATGCCGCGGTGCCGCCACGACGGCGGCCTCTGGGAGGACGACGTATCGAGTGGCGGCGCGGCGGCGGACCGATTCCGAGACTCGTCTCCATCGCTCCGTCTCTCTCGCACTCACGGGGCGTCCCGTACAGGTGCGAGAGAGACGGAGCAACGAAAACGACTCTCGGAATCGGTCTGCTGGGGGGTCCATAATTGGGTTGGCGCCGAGGCGCTCACCTGTGCGCACTCGCGCTAGGGCCTTGTTCTTGTTCTTGTTGTGCAATGCATTCCGCGATTCCGCGCGTGGCGGCGCGGCACAGCACAGCACTGCACACGACTGCAGCACTGCTGCACTGCTCTTCTCCCGAGGCCCGAGGGTCGCCAGTCGCCGCTCGGCCCGCCTTGGCCAGCCAGCCTCGCCGCGGTCGCTTCCAAGGGCTTTCCCTTTGCGGCCGCGGGCCGCGGGGCAGCCAGGACGGCGAGGTGCCGATGATGGCGAATGGGCGAAGGGCGGCGAGGATGGGACGTGTCGCGTCGCGTCGCCGTCCGGGAGGAAAAAACCAACCAGCCGCCACCAGCACGCCACCAGCGGGTGTTATATCAGCCACAGCAGACTCATTCCGTTTTCGTCGCTGTCTCTCTCGCACCTATGCGGGATGCCCCTTGAGTGCGAGAGAGATAGACGAGCAGTCGGGGCGCGGGCACTAGACACTGCACGGTCTTCTTGGCTTCCTCGGTCATCATCTTCATCGGCGGCCGTCCGCCCTGGTCCACCCTGGTCCGCCCTGGTCCACCCTGTCCGCACGGTCGGCGTGACGCAACTCACGATATATCGCGGCCCGATAGTCCGGCGATAGCCCAGGGAAGGCACACGCCTCGCGGAGCCTTCGCCTCGCCTTCGCGGAGCCCGCCAATTGCGCCACGTTCGAGCACCGCGGCACTGCACTGTATGACACACAGCCTCCCCCCGCGCCGTTTTCTCCAGTGACCTCTCCCTCCCTCCTTCCAGCGAGGCGCCACGGACGGTCTCCAGCGCCTCCAGCGAGCCCCTGACTCAGAGCGTCGCTGCCTCCGTCTCTCTCGCACCAACACGAGACGCCGCACGAGTGCGAGAGAGACAGAGCGACGACAGCGACTGTCGGTCTGTGTCACTCCAGGATGACTCCAGCCGGGCCGGGCTGGAGTGGAGTGCCCTCTGCCCCGCCGGGAACACTATCCTTGATTGGGCGCTGTGCTGCAGTGTGCTGCGGCGAGAACACAACCGCCAGCGGGCTGGTTCCGGACATCGCTTTCGTCACTCTGTCTCTCTCGCCCCCAGGGGGCGTCCCGTCGAGGTGCGGCAGAGACAGAGCAATCTGTACACTGCAGTGGCGGGGCGGCGACTCGTTGCGAAAAATACAAATAATCAGTGCTGGCCAGCGGCGGGCGGCGAAGCACCGCTCCCGCGTAGCGCCCATTGTACTCGCCGTACTGCACGCGACCATGAGAGAGAGAAAGAAGCTCCCTTCATATTTGCGTTACGTGCGGGCACTGCCCGGGCAGGCGGGCCGCTGGGCTGGTACACTGTGGCTGGTACAACAACGGCCGGCGTGACATAAGGCGAGGCAGCCGAAGCCTCCGCCAGTGCGCCGACGGCCAGGGGCAGCGGAGTCCATCCGTCGCTCTCGCACTCGTGGGGCGCCCCGTGCAGGTGCGAGAGAGACAGAGCGGGGGCATTCCATGCCAGTCCGACCACTTTCGTAGGTCACTATCTCGGAATTCGATGCAACTTTTTTTCCAAGTAGTACTTCATGAGAAAACATGCTGTGCAAAATTTCAGGCCGATCGGACCAGTAGTTCCTGAGATATGGGCTTTTCAATTTTTGCCTAAACTGTTGTTTGAGTGGTTTGGGTGAAATTGCAAGTTTCCACATTTTCCGTCCGTGCTATGTTGCTAATGGAGCTATGGCGTTTCTGAAGATGTTTTCGTGAAGGGAAAACTATAAGGATTCAGAATCTGTAATCGAATTTGAGATCCGAGTCCCGCAAAGGGGCTAAAAATGGCAAAAATCACAAAATTTTCGGGTTTTTTACACATTTTTCAAACTTATAATTTCCCTATGTCCATATCGTGAAAACCAAAATCTAGTAGCGCAAAATGTAGATCAAGACGTGCCCTATCGAGCTGCGAGACGAAAAAAGGTGGGTATGGGTCTAACTTCGGAGCTACAGCCTCTCAAAAATTGTGTTTTAGACCTAAAATTGCAATTTTGCTAAA